GTCTTATTTTTCTTTGTCTATTCTTTGACTTCCATAATCTCAGTCAATCTTCAAGTTCATTTATTCTTTATTCTGCTATTTCAGCTCTACTGTTGAGCCCCTCTGGTGAGTTTTTAAAAATTCTTCAGTTGTTATACTTTTCAACTCTAGACTTTCCATTTGGTTCTTTTTAAATAATTTCTGTCTCTTTATTGATAGTCTCTATTTGATGAGACACTGTCTTTGTCCTGCAATTCTTTAATCATAGTTTCCTTTAGTTCTGTGAACATGTTTATAATGGCTACTTTGAAGTCTTTTGTGATAAATTCAATATCCTGTCATGCTCACATGCAGTTTCTGTTGCTTGATTTTCAGGCATATGAATTATACATTCTTGTTTCTTTGCATGCCTCATAATTTTTTGTTGGAAATTGGACATTACAGATAACATATTGTAGCAACTCTGGATACTGGTCCCCCTCCTCTGGGGCTTATTATTGTTATTTGTTTAGTGTTGGGCTGGATTATTTTAGTGAAGACTATCCCTTTATACCTCCCCACCCCCACAGTGTTAAGCCTCTGATGTTGCTCCTGAGGGAGATGCAGCTTCAGGTGTGCCCACAGTCATCCTGGAATGACAGTGCTTTCATAGGACTCTTGTGATGAGAAAACAGCTATTCTGAGTTGCTACCTTGGCATTTCACAGTATGACAACCCTGGCCACGCTGAGTCTACACATTTAGAGAAAGACCTGAGCTTAGGTTCCCTGCTTCAAGTTCCCCTTTGCTTCTCCCAGGTCATCTTTTAAAATGACCACTCAGAGTTGAGCCTTCCAAAAGTTAGTGATCTCCACCTCAACCACCTTATAAGTAACAGGTGCTTGCTACCCTGTTCTCTATCTCCTGCTCACTGGTGACCTGGGATAGAGAACTGCCCTTCTCTGGCTCATTCCCCCCACCCCCTGCCCCCTCCCCAGCTTCTGGGATCTGTAAGTAATAAATCTTGTGACTCTACTTCCTTTGTGTGAGTGTACTGAAAATACACCTTCAATCAAAATGCCCCCAGGGTTTTCACTTCCTCAAAGTGGTAGTTCAGATGCTAGGGAGCTACCTGCCGACCCCTCTGTGAGTGGCTTGTGCCTCCTCATTCATCAGGTCATAATCTACATATTCTTAATTCAATGCACCGGCTACAGCCCCCAAAACAATTCTTCCTCTCTTTCCCTGACCACACCCAGCTGTTAAACTGCACTAATTGCCAGCTGACTGCTCCATTGTTTTCAACAATGCCCTGGGCATACATTCTTCTACAGACTAATCCAATCAAGTTCTGGCTCCTTTGAAAGTGTTCTGCGGTCAGTGTTTGATACAGGTATACCTTGTTTTATTGTGCTTTGCACATACTGCGTTTTTACAAGATCCTCCACCAGCAAAAAGATTACAATGCTTGGAAGGCTCAGATGATGGTTAGCATTTTGTAGCAATAAAGTATTTTTAAATTAAGGTATGTACATTCTTTTTTTTTTAGACATAATGCTATTGCACACTTAATAGACTACACTATACTGTAAACATAACTTTTATAAGCACTGGGAAACCAAACAATTCACAATAAAGTGACTCACTTTATTGTGATATTTGCATTATTGTGGTGGTTTAGAACCAAACTTGCAGTGTCTCTGAGATGTGCCTGTATTTGTTTTGACCCCAAGAGGGCTCCTCCCAGTTCTTCTTTCCCTGGTTCCCTCTTGTGAACCAGCCTCCAGTATAGCCTGTCTCTTGGCCACCTTTCACCACCTCTTCACGTTCTTGAGAATGCCCTTGGGCTTGAACTTCTCCACTGTCTATTGCAAATGAAGTCAGTTCCTTTGGGAAGAAATTAGGAACAATCTGTTTTTCTGACTTGCTTTCCCTCCAGGCAAAATCTCTGAGCCAGGGCTCTGGAGCTGGGGTGAGGACAAGGGCAAACTTCTCCGTGAGTGACACCCATGCTCTCGGAGCTCAGTGGGAGGGCATCAGCCTGATGTCCTCTCTGCTTACCTCTTCTGGCATGGAACACTGCCTCACAGCAGGGCAATGGTGATCAGGGCCCCAGTATGTGGGGTGGTGCCTCCCCCAGGGTGGAGCCTCTGCTCCGTGGGTGGGGGCTGGGCAGAAGAGAGCCCTTCCTCTCAACCAGACTTACTTGGACTCAGCCTCAGCAACAGGCACTGGGGGCACCGCTCCTTTGGAAGGAGGCCCTCCAACTGGGAGCCGAGGGGAGTGCTCTTAGCTGCAGCAGTCTGGAGTGGAGTCTCTGCCTCACTGAGCTGGGAGAGAGGAGGGATGGGGTGGTCTTGGCTCAGATACCACAGGCTCTTTCCTTTCTTGCTGAATTTTCATAGATTTCTTGGATAGATGTTTCTTCTTTGCCTGTTTGCCCTTAGAACCATTCTCAGAAGCTTTAATTACAGTAGTCCTTCTTTATCTGCAGTTTCACTTTATTTGGTTTCAGTTACCCATGGCCAACGATAGTCTGAAAATATTAAATGGAAAATTCCAGAAATAAACAACTCATAAGTTTTAAATTGTGTACCATTCTGAGTAGCATGATGAAATCTCGCACCACCTTCCGCTCCATCCCGCCCAGGTCATACATCATCTCTTTGTTGGATCCTCAGACATCAACATCATCTGCTCCTGACACCCAACATTGGCACTGTCACGGCTCAATGATCCTCCTTCTCCATGGAGCTTATGATCCTCGGTCAGAAGGTCAATAGTAGCCTAGTGCTACTTCACAATGCCTACATCATTCATCTCATCACGTAGGCATTGTATCATCTCACGCCGTCACAAGAAGGGTGAGTAAAGTAAAATAACATAGAGAGAGACCACATTCACCTAACTTTTATAACAGTATATTGTTATAATTATTCCCTTTTATTATTAATTATTGTTGTTAATCTCTTACTGTGCCTAATATATAAACTAAATTTTATCAGGTACATGTGTATAAGAAAAAACATACTCTAGATAGGGGCTGGTGCTAGCCAGGGTTTCAGGCAGCCACTGGGGGTCTTGGAATGTATTTCCTGTGGATAAGTGGGGACTACTGTATTGTTGTGGTTTTTTGTTTTAATTTTTATTGTTTTTCCTAATTTTTACCAGTTTCACTAAGAATGGGTCAGTGGAGTGCCTCACATTGTCATCCTGGAGGTTGATCCTCAAGTAGTCTTGGTTTGGTTTTGTTAATTTTTTTTTCAGTTTGAGCATCTGATTCTGCATCCCAATAAGGTCCCCACACTGCCGCTGGCTGACGTGTGTTGTAGGTTTCGTGTCTGTAGGTTTTCCTTCTCTGTTCTTTATTGAAGAAACCAGGTTGTTTTACCTGTAGTTTTCCACAACCTGGATTTTTCTGCCTGCATCCCTGGGTGTCATTTAATGTGTTCTCTCATCTGGAAGCTTGACCAGTGCCTCTGACACCTCCGTGCCACCTCACATCTCCTCAGTCCATCTGTGAACTCATTTTTGCTGCAGCAACAAGCTGCTCAGGGGCAACCCAACAGCATCTCCCATCGGTCACTCCAAAGCTCTCTTTCTACTCTACGGCTTCTCTGCCAGGTGTGGGGTGCTGGACCATTCTGACCATTCCTGCCCACAAAGCTAGAAGTGTGAGGGAGTTAATATTCCATGGGGCAACCAGTAGATGAATCCTCTCCTCTCTGTGTCTTGGGTGGACACTTCTGAGGCACATCCTACAAGGTTCCTCACGGGTCTCCAATGGGTCAGAGCCTCAATTGCCCACAATGAGCACTACTCCAATAACCTCCCTGGTGGGTGGGCTTTCCCTCCTTCCTTGTTTCACCCTCTCCAGCCCTTCACTCCTGCTCCTTAGGATCATTTCTAATATAAACCACCTTCATGCAGCCCTCGTCTCAGGCTCTGCATTTGGAGGGAAGAGGCTAAGACAATCAGATTGTGCCTTAATGTCTTAGCAAGACTACTAATAGGAGCATGGTGAACTTCCATCAGGAAAAATCCAATGTCTGGTCCACTCTCTCTTTGCGATGTTAGCCATCACTGACATCGACAGCTTAGTCACCCTTAGGTATAGTTCTTGCAGGAAAGGTAGGACATATTCTTAATTTTTGTTAATTTACCAGCTTTCAAAATGACATTAGTTCCTGATATCCTCCCAAAGGGAGTCACTGAGGTTTTTGTCTTTAAAGAATGATTATGAGATCATGGATTTAAACATGCCTGATGGGTTTCACGCAATGGTGGCTAGTATTCTTGATGATGCTCACGCTGTCCTATCTTTGGTCGGTGGGTCTTCATCTAAGTTGGCTCCCGAGTCCAACTTTAGTGTTCCTCAATAACCTCCTTGATTTCTAAAAACGAATCCAGGCTTTTCAGTAGAGCTACTGATTTAACAAATATGGAATATATTTTACAAGGTTATAGCAATACTTCTAATTTGGATTCAGACTACAGGGTTTTTATTACCTTCATTGATCTTAAATCTGTATCTTCTTTTTCCCATGCCAAAAAATTTCAGTTCTTGACTCTCCTTGGGTCATTTGGGACTTGGGACATTTGAGTTGTTTTCAGTCTTTAGTTGTTAAAAGTTTTATTGAATAAATTGCCTTTTGAGTGGATCTTTTGAATTTTTGCCAATGTGTCTTCAGGATACATCCCTTGAAGTAAGATGGCTGGGTCAAAGGGTAAATACAGAAGTAATTTTGTTAGCTATTGCTAATTTCTCCTTCTTTGGGGGTGGTGGCCTTCAGCATCCCCACTGACGATGTATGAGATGCCTGTCTGCCCACAGACTGAACAATAGCACGCCATCCACCTCTGAAGTTTTGTCAGTTGGATGTGTAAGAAAGGGCCTCTCAGTGTGTTTTTATTTCTATTTTTCTAGCTATGAGTGAAATGAGGGGTCTGTTTCTATCGCTCGGATGTTTCACTTTGGCTAAGGGCTGTGTAAAGGCAACACAGGAAGGGTATTTGTGGAAAAACTGAATTGACAGTAAAAACTCATACCTAATAATTTATTTTAAATGGTTCTAGATTGATAGCACCCCCACTCACATGACAGAAACAAATACTAATTTTTTCTAGAAGAACTCAGATGTGTCAGAGAAATTCCAGAGGTAAAGTTCAAAAGAATACAAACTCACAGCCAAAAATCACAAAATTCACCAGCAAACACGGCACCATGAGTGAGTCAGCAGAAAAAATGGACAGAAGAATCAGAGCCGCAGTCTTCAGATATTGATATCATCAATCAGAGAACATAAAACAAGTCTAATATGTTTACAAAATAAAAGAATGGATTGAAAATGTGATGAACAAGCTATAGAAATCCAGCAAATTATAAAAACAATGTAGAACTTATAGAATTGAAAATCGTAACTACTGAAATGAAAAACTGGACGAGTTTAACAGCATATTTGATACAGCTGGTAAGAAAACTAGTGAACTGCAAAGTAGATCCGAAGAAATTATCCAGAATGTAGCAAAGCCAGATAAGGAACAGAAAATATGAAAGCCTTAAGAAACATGGAAGAAAGGGCGAGGATGCCTAACATACATTTAATTGTAACAGACAATGGCCCAGAGGTAACATTTGAAGAGACAAAACCTGAGGTTCAAAAAACCCAGTGAGTGAAGAGCAAGCAGGGTGGGTGGTCTCTTCACCTGACAGCTCTGAGCGCACCACAGGACACCGTCAGAGAAACGACAAGCTGTCTTCTTTTTTTTCTTTTTTTAAAAGATTTTATTTTTCCTTTTTCTCCCCAAAGCCTCCCGGTACACAGCTGTATATTTTTAGCTGTGGGTTCTTCTAGTTGTGGCCACCTCAACATGGCCTAATGAGCAGTGCCATGTCCACGCCCAGGATCCAAACCGGTGAAACCCTGGGCTGCACGAACTTAACCACTTGGCCACGGGGCCGGCCCAAACAAGGTGTCTTCTGAAGAACAGCCATCAGGCTGACACCTGGCTTCTCAGCTGCAACAAGGACAGCTGGAAGGCAGTGGAACAATGTGTCCAACATGCTTAGGGAAAAACTGCCAATCGAGTACTGCATTCCTAGCAAAAAGAGCTTTCAAGAACAAGAACATAGAGACTTTTTCAGCAAACAGAATTGAGAACGTTTGTTACTACTGGCTCTTACTGAAGGAAATGCTGAAGTTCCCGACCAGCAGAAGGAAAGCGTTTCCATTTAAAGAGTCCGAGAGGCAAGAGGAAACGCCCAGCAGAGGCAGTGCTCACGGTGGGTGGACTGACCGCCTGACCACGAGGAACCACAGCAACCATGTCTTGTGGGATCACAAACAGAATCCTGGCTACCAGGCACAACTCTACCAGTGCCCACGGCGTAGAGGGGCTGGAGCATCAACTGTCCTTGTACTCTTTAGGGAAAGGGAAGAGACACTGATTAATCTTACACTCGAACCAGCTAAGTATTTATACTAAAACTGGGGGGTAACTACTAAAATACTAAGTACAGTGTGCCTAACTTTCCAAATAACAGCATGAGAAAAGCAGCTCACTCCATGCAAAACAGGGCACAAAAAGGGAGAAAAGGCAGCTGGGGAAGGAGACACAAGGAGCAGGTGGAAACATTTCACACCGCAGATTTTGGACAGTGCATTGCAGCGGCACTCACGGGTCTGGATGGGACCCTGAGGAGCTCGGCCCAAGCTGACGGGACAGGGTGTTTCGTGCTGTGGAAGCAAACACGACATTCTGCCAGCTCCTCAGGTGACCGAGCACTTCACCTACCAGTTAGAAAAAACAGGCTCACCCAACAGGTTCTGGTCCCCCAGATAACAAAATGCTCTTTCACGTAAACCTAAGCATGGGAATCACATTTCCCACCACAGACAGACTGATGCAAACTCGGTGACCTTACACGCTGCCGGTATCCGGCAGCCGGTGCTGAGGTCGGACTCCCAGAGCACCTCCTTCTCTTGTAAACGCTCCCAGCTCTGAGTCTTCCTCCGACACCGCGACCCAAAACCAGGCAAGGTCTTGCAGCAGAAATAGAAGCGTCTCCTCAGAATTATTGATGCAGGTGGTCTTTTTTTTTTGCATCAATAATATTCCTTACACTGAAGTTTCATATTCCGTTTTTTAGAAGAAAAACCAAGGCAGATTCAACAAGTAGCTTTCTAGGTAGGGGCGAAGCTAGGATTGGAGCCCAGGACTGGCAGTCCCCAAAGACTATGAAACACATGCCTGTGTGCTGGCTAACGCTGTGGGCAAGTGAATCTCAGATGTGCTGTTACGAAAAAGGCCCACGTGTTCGTGTGGAAGGGTGGGGTTACAGAGAGGACGCACAGGAGTTAGGGAAGGGGCGAGGTCCCCGAGGGGAGACGAGCAGAAAGAAGAGCATCTTTGCATGTTAGTGTTTTTCTCTGTTATGTTTTTCAAGAACCAAAGTGGGACCCTGGGCAGCCCTGCCATAGCCCCTCAGCCAAGGCTGGTCACCGCCCACCCAGAAGTGTACATCAGGTCTCTCATCGATACACTAGGCCTGTACTTCAGGTTTTACTCTTTTCCTTGCACACCAGGTCACCTGCTTTCAGGGTTTTTAGTGCATGGAGCTGCTGGCGTGATGCGACGCTCTCCTGGAGACCCCATCTGCTCCAGGTGTCCCGAAAGCTTTGGGTGTGACTCAGCAGGAGCTGGGCCAGCAGCCTCCGGGCCGGAGTCACAGACCACCACCAGCTGCCTCCAGCCAAATCTAGAGCCCAGAGCAAGAGCAGGCCGGAGGTGAGACGGGGAGGCGGAGGCCCACCCTGCTGCTGCTGGCTGAGCCCTCAGGCTGGCACAGCTGGCATGCCAGCACCCCAGGTGCTGCTGGAGGGGATGTGGCCTCTGGGAGAGACTCTGCCAGGCCAAGCCCTGATTTTATCAAAACAGAGCTGATCCAGCTGTTTCTGTCGACTCGCTGCCTCTGGTGGCGTGCATCTATGCCCCACACACCCGCCCACCCGCCGCAGCTGCTCTGCCCTGCTGTAGCTCCGCACCTCTGCTGGGTGCCCTCTCTAGCCACGTTATCGTTGTCGACCGCCGATGAGAACTGCATGACTCTGATCAGTTCCACCCGGAAGACACCAGCCAGACACTTGGGTTCTGGTGCAGCCCCTCCCTCGCTGCAATGCCCATCCCTCTGCCCATCACTGTCCTTCATCACCGTTCCTCCTCCGGGATGCCGCCCGGCTGGCACGCCTCTTTCCCAGTGCCGACTGCCCTGCCCCGGGCTCCTGGGAATCCTTTCTAGTTTCCATGTCCCCCCAGTCAGGTCTGCTTCCTGACCGGGCATCTCTCACAGAGTCATGAACTACTGAGGACTCAGACAAGCGAGACATCCTGCCCGGTCACCCCCCGAGGCTCTAAGATTTCATAAATCTTTCTGAAAACCAAACACTAAAAACAGAGCACTCACGGGTGATTACTGCTCGTTTCCCAGTCTGATTCAACAATATGGGAAGGACGACTAAAAGCCCACTGATGAAGAACATTTACTTTTTGTGCTTAAAAAGGACACTCTGGGGATGGCCCCTGCAGAAGGAGGTGGGCCCGTCTCCAAGTCATCAGAGCACCCGCCAGGATCATTTCTGGAATCTGTGGGTCTCTCACTCCTTCTGATAACGGCTACTGATGTCATTCAGTCATTTGCCAAGGAACCCAGACATCGAGGGCAGCAAAGGCCTGGGTCCTAGGGACCGCAGCAGAAGGCCAGAGAAAAAGCCCATCGTTGACACCACGTCCTGCAAAAGGCAACTGTCTCCTGCCTCAGGGGCTGCTCAGAGGCCTGTGGCTCTTTCTCTTCGTCTCAGTCGTCACTGGTGTTTATTTCTTTTCTTGGTGCTTTTAAATCCTCGTGATGCCCCTTGACCAAAACAGATGGTAGGAGGTATTCTGAAACGAACAAAACCCTTCACACTCAACTATTATACCTTTTGCCAACAAACAACCCAATTCATAACAGCAGTCTGATGTGTGCTTTCTTCTTGTTCCAAAATGCTCCCTCTCTTTCACCCTGTGGAGCATTCAGGACGTGGGCTCTCCCTTTGCACAGCCCAGGGCAGCTCCCTGTCTGCAGCTGGCCAGCATCCCTCAGGCCCGCTTCCTGTGGGAGTCTCCCAGCCACCAACGCACGCTTGCCGCGGAGAACTCGGCCAGCTTCTGCCAAGCTCTCCAGGGCTCAGACTTCCTTTCACCCCGTCGGATGAAACCCTAACAGCCCAACGGCTCCCGGGACTCACTCGTAGGCCAAAGTCTAGGCAAACGCTCAAAGGCAGCTGAGGGACACGAGTCTATCTTCCTGTCAATTTGGATTCCCTGGCAATTTTTTTCCCTTTTCCCCCAAATTAGATCTGAAATCAACTTTAACCCAACAAGAGCACAGTTCATGCTAGGAAAACAAACTCATGGGTTGTAACTTAAGAAATTACAACCAAGGTTCTTTCTATCTCTGTTTTGGCCATGTTTTGCATTTCTGTGCTGCAGGAGTTCCAAAAACAGAGTACACAAGAGAAATTAAGTTATTCAAGAGACAGGAAGAGTCATGCTTTCCATTCCCACTGAAGCCAACATCCCGACCCAGAGTCAGCTTCTCTCAGTGAAAGGGCCGGCCAGGCTCAACCCAGGGACTCTCCACGTAAAACACGTGTTCAGACCCTGTTTCAGGAAGAGCCCAGGTACTGACCTGCGGCCAGCCGTGTGCCTCTCACCCGCAGGTTCAGAGCAGACTTCCATGGCGTCCCCTTCCACCTGCTCCCCTTCAGCCCCCAGGGCTTCTGCCGACACTTGCACGGTGGCCCTGGGCGTGGCTGGGCTGTGGAGGACAGAGAGGTGAGTGCTGGCTCCTGCAACCCCAGTTTTTCCCTAGAAATGAACTTCTGAGGAAGACGTTATTTTTCTCACAAAGATATCTTGTAACTATTTTGGCATAGTGTCATCTTCAGGCTACCAGGACAAGGAGGAAAATTACAGCAAGGCTGCAAGTGAATATGATAAACACCACATTTTACAAATCTAGGTATGACAACTACACTTTATCTTTCAAAAACAGTATTATTACAGTGCCGTGTGGTAAATGCCTACCAAGCGCACCAAAAGTTTTCTGTGATAATCAGTAAGAAATTTACTAAACTTAACTCTGCAACATTGAGAGTCTCCTCCCCAACACCAAGGTTTCCATCTAGCAGTGCAGGGTTTTCTCCTGAAAATGATCCCTCAGAAAGGAGTTACCGTATACTCAAGGCCTTACAAAAATCTCCCACATTGCAGTGGGTTCTCAGAATTATTTTACTTTGAAGATTTTATTTTTTTCCTTTTCCTCCCTAAAGCCCCCCGGTACATAGTTGTATATTCTTCATTGTGGGTCCTTCTAGTTTTGGCATGCAGGACGCTGCCTCAGCATGGTCCCATGAGCAGTGCCATGTCCCCGCCCAGGATTCAAACAAAGGAAACACTGGGCCGCCTGCAGCGGAGCGCGCGAACTTACCCACTCGGCCACGGGGCCAGCCCCAGAATTATTTCACTTTAAACAGTAAAGTTCTTTAGAGGCAAATAAGTTAGTCTAAAGAGACTTCGATCAACGTACTATCTAGATGGTCACGAAGGTTCACCCAAAAACAATCAGTTACAAAACAGGGAAAGAAACATAACACAGATTCAAGAATTATCCCCACAGACATTTTCCCACAGTGGGCTCTCAACAGAACCGTGTAACAAATGGTTTTGTTGTCAAGTTCCTAAATGTGTACTGACAGGACAAACGAAACACTGGAGGCCCCACGTGAGGGGAGGGGCTCACGGCCTGCAACAACATCCCTGAGGCCCACATCTGCTCCACTCGAGAGTGGCTGTGCCGAGCGGAGGTGTGGCACAGCCGTGTGAAGTGTGAGCATAGAGAACCACGGTGAGGTTCCTACACACCCAGGCAGACACTGGGAGGGCACCCCAGTCACTCCCAGGACAGAGCCCAGGAGGCCCGGGGCTCCCCTTCCTGTCCTCCTCTAGCAGGGGCCCCATACAAAACCACCCCCACTCATCTACCCTTTTTTGGTGACTCTCGACTTGTCAGGGTTTCCGTCACCTGCAGCTAAATATGAAGTTAAGTGACAGGGATGCTAAACTACACCATCTACGTCCTTAAAGTCTATATGCTCAAAAGGCTTTCTAAATTCAAGGGGTGGCCGCATCCTGCAGTGTGGACACCGTGTCACCTCACGTACCTCATGTTTTTCTTTGGTTTATCAAACCGAAAGTCCGCAGGGTAGAGGTGACGTCTCACCAGGTGATCCTTCCTGTCTTTGCTGGTCTTGAACTTCTCCGTGCACCCTTCCACCAAGCACTGATACTGAAACGAAACAGCATACCCTCCATCCTGACCCCCGGAGCCCTCGCCGCTCCTCAATGGGCACACCAAGGGCAGGGAAGGTGCCCCCTGGCCTTGTCCCCAACCCTGAGAGCTGGGAGTGGCACTCTGAGCCCTGCAGCCCGGATACCCACTGGACAGTTTGGGAACAAGCCCCCGGGGTCACTGCACTTGGCCTTGGTCACCCACCATGTTCTGCCTCTCAGACAGGATCTGGAACAATGAGTCGTGCCACTCCAGGATGTGGATGTCCAGCAGGTGTCCTGAGGGGAAGGCTCGTTTGCAGAAGGAGCAGACGTTTCTGTGCAGAGTGTGGTAGTGGTGCTCATAGTCCTCCAGGGCGTCGAACACCTGGCAGCAGCCCGCCACCTGACAGGTGAACTCGGGCACCCTGACAAAGGAAACCGCCTGGTGGGAACACCATTCCCCTGGTGACAAAGACTGTCAGAGTCCCTGTCAACAGCTTCCTTTTAAGTGCCCTGATACAGCTTCGAATGTTTCTTTTACAGTCCCAAACCCTACCCTGTTAAGAAGTTAGTTTTCACACCAGCTAGGCGGAGGGGAGGCCGGCCTCTCAGGGCGTGGACGGGTGCAAGCAGGGGCGGGGCGGCAGGTCCCCCTCCTCCACCTGAGGGGCGGTGGAGGAGGGGTGGAATGGGGCCCCGGGAAGGGGCGGGGTGGGAGGCGGGGAGGGGACGGCGCTGGGCCCAGAGCCGCTCACCTGGGCCTCTCGGGCGCCCCGGCCACCTGCGTGAGCACATCCTGGAGGTACAGGTGCCGCTGCACGTCCCCGTCCTGCAGAACACGCGCGTAGTGGGTGGGCCGGGCGCCTCGCGGCCCCGCCCCCGCCCCGCCCCTCGGCCGCAGGCCCCGCCTCCAACCAGAGGCCCCGCCCCAGACTCAGCCCCGCCTCCAGCCAGAGGCCCCGCCCCGAACCTCAGGCCCCGACCCCTTACAACGGCCCTCCGCCTCTGCTCACGCACCTCGAAGAACTCGTGCTCCCGCGGGAAGCGCACCTGGCGCGCCGTGAAGCGGAAGGGCGCGGCGCCGGCCTTGGGGCTACGCTCCACGGGCAGAGGCTCCGCCGCACCGGGGCCCCCGGCCAGGCGGGCGTGCACCGCGGGAGGCAGCTGCATCGCCCTGCGCGCCGGCAGCGCCGCAGCCTATCGGCCACCGTCGACGGGCCGGCAGGGGCGGGGCCGGACGTGACGTCGCGCCACTTCCGCCGCGGGCGCAGGCTGGGCGCGCAGGTCCTCCGGTGAGTTGGGACCGGAGGGTGTTGGGCCCCTCCTGCGGACCCGATGCACAACCGGTGCGGGCCGGCCTCCGCGTTGTGGCGCCGACGGTTCGGGTCCCGGAGCGGGGTCTCTGGTTTTGTCCCGAGCCCTGACGGTTCAGGCCGGCCCCGTGGGCGGCTCCCGCCTCCCTCCCGCCCTCGGCGCCGTCTTCTTGCTGGCGCCGCCCTTCTGTCCCTGCTAAGGGCTGCAGCCGCCTCTGCATCGTTCTTGGCTCTGGACCAGTCTCCAGGCTGGAGCCAGAGCTCAGGTTCCGTCATAACTCCTCTCGGCCTAAAGCCTTCGATGGCTTCCCGTTGCCCCGTCCGGGGCCTCCCGGCCCGTGGGGCCCTGCCGTTCGCCTGCATCTCCAGTGTCCCCATCCCATCCCGTCCCATCCGCTCCAGGCGCGGACAGGGCGCGGCGCCAGGTGCGCACGGGGCCGGTGGAGAAGTCAGGACGTCCCTGCCGTTCCGGAGCCTGCAGCCGGCAGGGGGGACAGACGTCCAGCTGCTGGATGTTACCTAGTTCATGTGGTGACGGGTGACACGTCAGGGACGCGGGGATGCGTGAGACCTACCGTAGAGGACGGCCGAGGCCCGCCGAGACTTTAACTCTCCACTCCTCCCCGCAAGTGTTTCAGCCTGGAGCAGGCGAGTGCGTGCCCACGTGCGGTGGCAAGGAAAATGGGGTGCTGTTTCTTTAAGAAGTTAAAAACGTAATTACACAGAAAAGTGTGATTTAAAAATATAATCAGAAACTTTTAGTAACTTCATTTTGGTGGTGAAGGTTTGTGACTACACATCCTCGACCAGTCATTTTCACGCCTGAGAAGAGCTCTGGTCAGATCCAGACCAGTTTTCGTCTCTTATATTTTACTTTCCTGTCTCTGAGAAAGCAAAGCATTAGGCTCTTGACATTTTCCACAATTTTTTTTTTGTTTTTTGTTTTTTGTTTTTTATTAATGTTATGATAGATTACAAGCTTGTGAGACTTCAGTTGTACATTTTTGTTAGTCATGTTGTGGGTACACCACTTCCCCCTTCGTACCCTCCCCCCACCCCCCCTTTTCCCTGGTAACCACCGATCAGATCTCCTTCTCAATATACTAATTTCCACCTATGAGTGGAGTCATATAGAGATCGTCTTTCTCTGACTGACTTATTTCGCTTAACATAATGCCCTCGAGGTCCATCCACGTTGTTGTGAATGGGCCAGTTTTGTCTTTTTTTATGGCTGAGTAGTATTCCATTGTGTATATATACCACATCTTCTTTATCCAGTCATCAGTTTCTGGGCATGTAGGCTGGTTCCACGTCTTGGCTATTGTAAATAATGCTGCGATGAACATAGGGGTGCAACGGACTCTTGAGATATCTGTTATCAGGTTCTTAGGATAGATACCCAGTAGTGGGATGGCTGGGTCATAGGGTATTTCTATTTTTAACTTTTTGAGAAATCTCCATACTGTTTTCCATAGTGGCTGTACCAGTTTGCATTCCCACCAACAGTGTATGAGGGTTCCTCTTTCTCCACAACCTCTCCAACATTTGTCGTTCTTGGTTTTGGATGTTTTTGCCAATCTAACGGGGGTAAGGTGATATCTTAGTGTAGTTTTGATTTGCATTTCCCTGATGATTAGCGATGATGAACATCTTTTCATGTGTCTATTGGCCATATTCATATCTTCTTTTGAGAAATGTCTGTTCATGTCCTCTGCCCATTTTTTGATCGGGTTGTTTGTTTTTTTGTTGTTAAGCAGTGTGAGTTCTTTGTATATTATGGAGATTAACCCTTTGTCGGATATGTGGCTTGTAAATATTTTTTCCCAATTAGTGAGCTGTTTTTTTGTTTCAATTCTGTTTTCCCTTGCCTTGAAGAAGCTCTTTAGTCTGATGAAGTCCCATTTGTTTATTCTTTCTATTGTTTCCCTCAACTGAGGAGTTACAGTGTCCGAAAAGATTCTTTTGAAACTGATGTCAAAGAGTGTACTGCCTATATTCTCTTCCAAAAGACTTATTGTCTCAGGCCTAATCTTTAGGTCTTTGATCCATTTTGAGTTTATTTTGGTGTGTGGTGAAAAAGAATGGTCAATTTTCAATCTTTTGCATGTGGCTGACATTTTCCACAATTTTTAAAATAATGTTTTTCACGCCAGTTTGTGCAGTTAGCTTTGAGCTCTTCAACAAAGACTGCTTTCCACTTCCCTCTTTGTTTCAACCAGCCGTTCGTGGTGAGTGTGTGCCTGATGCTGCATGGACATGACGTGTGCGTGAAGTGTTGCCGCCTCGCCCGGCTGGCTCACACTCAGTGTGAGGAGGAGTGAGTTGTGCTCAGTCGCAGAAGTCTGTGTCTGTCCACTTGTGGCGAATGATGGAACTCAGGAGCATCAAAAAGACCACGTGAGGGGCCGGCCCTGTGGCCCAGTGGTTAAGTTAGTACGCTCTGCTTCACGGCCTGGGGTTTCGCAGGCTCGGGTCCTGGACGCACACATGGCACCACTCATGAGGCCATGCTGAGGCAGTGTCCCACATGCCACAACTAGAAGGCCCCACAACGAAAATACACAACTATGAACTGGGGGGATTTGGGGAGAAAAAGGAAAACTAAAATGTTAAAAAAAAATACCATGTGAGCCATTGCAAGTAAATATTCCTCAAAGCTGTTGTCAGTGGAGACACTGTTGGTGTTTGGGGGGAGGGGAGGGTGCCTCTGTTGCTGTTGAGCTTCCCTGGCCTCCTCCTGCTAAGCACTAAGAGCACCCTTCCAGTCACTGTCACAACCAGAGGTTACCCCTACACCTTTCCAGAGGTCCCCTGAGGGGAGGTACCACCTGCAGGGGGAGCCAGATGCCTTGCCAGAATTGTTCCCCAAATCCACATAGAACGGCAGACTCCTCGTAGTATTACTACTTGTGACGTGGGCTGTCTGTGGTTTTATTTCTGCCACAAATGTGAAGTTTCATGAAGATGGTCTTTGAATAAATATTCCCTTAGATGATGTTTTTTCGGAAGAGTTCTCTCCACCTGCTTGTTTCTGGTGGAGGGGTGTTTTGTGTCGTGGTAAACGCAATATTCTTGCCGTCTGGCGTGACCAAGGTGGTCCTCGGTCCAGCCGTTGCAGGACAGCCTGCAGGCCTGGGGGAGCCTCGTAGACTGTGGGTAACCCGGTTGCCCTTAGGAATGCAGAGGCCGTCATTGGGAGAGTTGACGTTGTCTTTGATGTTTTCTCTAGTTTGCAGTGCCTACTTCAGGACCCTCGGTGACTAATGGGATACCCAGTGATTTCGGATGTTGTCGGTGATTCAGATCCAGTTTTCCTTTTGTAAAACCAACCATTAATCAGGCAACAGTGAACACTTCCGGTGGTGGCTTTACGTGGTAATAGCTGCAGCACTTGTCCCTGCTTTTCTGATAACACTCGTGCAAGAGCTCACTATGCGCAGGCCCTTCGGGGCCCTATACGAATGGTTGATCTCCACAGCAGCTCTGGGTAGCTTTTACTACTCACGCTTTTCAGAGGAGGCTGAGAGAGGACGAGCTCCTTGCCCAGGGCCCTCCGGCCTGGAAGCAGCCAAGTCAGGGTTCAGAGTGGCTGGGGCACCACAGCCCACGCACTGCTGCGCCTCGCGCCTTTAACTGTGGTTCTTGGGAGCGCCTGATTTAGAAAGGACGTGCGCTAGTGACTTAACTCACCAGCTCGTGTTACTGTTCTGCTGTCCCGTGTGAGATACCCCGCCTCGGGCCAGTATTCAATGTTTGTATACTGTGACACAATGACGTTTATGTATGGAGACCTAGTTTTCCGTCACGCAAGATTAGAGTCTCACTTTGTTAATGTGGAGTTAGAAATTAAAGTTGACTGTTGGCATGTTGCGAGGGTATGCGCTGAGTCTTCTCCACTTGAGGTTTTCCTCAACTTGTGGCTTGTCTTCACTGGAGCTGCTAGCACAGTGGTTCTCAACCTTTTTATGGGTCACAGAGCCTTTGAGAATCTGTTGAAAGACCCTCTCCTCAGAAAATTCACAGGCAAAAATGATTTTACCTCTGATTTCCAAGGGTTCTTTTGTGATCCCAGATCAAGAACCCTTGCATAGGTATATTGAAACGTTTATGTGCAGCTTGTGAAGTGTGCTTGTGTTCATTTTTTGAATCTGTGGCTGGTTGCCATGGATTCTCTCTTCTCCCCTTTTGTCAGTATTTGTGATCATAATGGCTAACTGGTCAGCAGTGGCAGAGCACAACCCCTGTGCAGACTGCTGCTGTCCCGGTGTAGTAGCCATGTGCTGTAATATGCTGTGCACTGTACTGTTTGCTTGGTGGGATCTGAGTTACGATTTTGACCCCAGAGAGTTGTGTGTCTAATGGTGAGACCCTAGACCCTAGGACATCTGGTCAACAGGGCAGACTGAGCTGAGGTGGAATCCTACCCAACTCAAATGCATAGGAGAACTATGGTAATCTTACTGAAAGCATCTTCGTATACAGCCAAGTTTGGACAAGGAATGGAAATGTCTTGGCTACCAGAGTGCAGAAAGAAGGCAGCACTGGAGGTGTGAATGGAGGTGTAACTGGACAGCGCAGGGTTTGCGAACCAGGTGCGGGCCTCACAGGTGGGAGCTGGAGTTTTGATATTCATGCCAGGACAGGGCAGTGGCTTAGGCCTACACAGACCTCCTTGCATAGATTCAGGACCCCTGAAGGGCCAGGACCACTGTGTCTGCACAGCCAGAACCAGAAAGCTCTGTTTGCCAGCCGACACGGGGAAGCTCCCCGCTGGCCCAGAGCCATGTGTGGTTGAAGTCACCCAGGAGGAAGGAGGACTCAGGCCTGTGGGGCCACATCCACACTGTCTGCACATGCCAGCTCCCTGAGCTGAGGAGTGAGCCTGGAGACTGGCTG